TTCTGGCTTTCATGATTTCCATAGAGAAGTCTGGTGTAAGCCTGATAGGTTTACCTTTATAAGTCACTTGACCTTTTTTCTTTGCAGCTCTTAATATTCTTTCTTTAATCTGTATGTTTTGTGTTTTGATTATTATATGGCGAGGGGATTTTTTTTTGATCCAGTCTATTTGGTGTTCTGTATGCTTCTTGAACCTTCATAGGAATATAGTACTTTAGGTTGGGAAAGTTTTCTTCTATAATTTTGTTGAATATATTTTCTGGGCCTTTGATCTGCAGTTCTTCTCCTTCTTCAATCCCTATTATTCTTAGATTTTGGTTTTTTATTGTGTCCCAGATTTTCTGAAGGTTTTGTGAAGAGAATTTGTTGGATTTGCAGTTTTCTTTGACCAGAGCATTTATTTTCTCTGTGGTATCTTCAGATTCTGAGATTCGTTCTTCTATCTCTTGTATTCTATTGGTTATGCTTGATTCTGTAGTCTCCATTCGTTTACCTAGGTTTTCCATATCCAGCTGTTTCTCGGTTTGTGTTTTCTTCATTGCCTCCATTTCAGTTTTCAATTCTTGAACTGTTTCCTTTACCTGCTTGATTGTTTTTTCTTGGTTTCTCAGGGTCTCATTTACGAATTTACTTATTTCTTCAAACTTTTTCTTATATGTCTCATCTAATTCTATACTCATTTCTTCAAACTTTTTGTTATACTTCTCATCCAATTCTTTAAGGGAGTTATTCATATCCTGTTTAAGGGACTCTATTGCTTTCATAATGGCACTTTTTTCCACTTCTTCTGGGTTAAGGTGTTCAAGTCCTTCTATTGTAGGGACGTTGGGATCTGGTGTTTTCATGTTGTTTTTCAGATTGTTGGATGAGGTCTTGCCTTGGCATCTGCCCATTTCTTCCTTCAAATTCTCTCTATTGGAACTTCAGGTACCGGGTCAGGTTCCCTTCTTGGGCAGGGACTTCATTGACAGAATGCCCACCTTTCCTCAGGCAGGCTATTGAAGCACAGGCACTCCCTCTTTCCGGGATGCACCTACAGCATAGGCCCAGCGTGCAAGGCAGCTGAGCTGGGGGATTTATGGCCCCAGGGGAAAGGGAGAAATATAGGAGTTTGTACCTGGATGGAAGCTGGGATGGCAGGCGAGAGAGCTTAGCAGGGTGGAGCCTGCCCTTCAGGGTGACCTGGGAGTCTATGGGGTCGGGGAAAGTCCGACCTCCTCCTCGTCGGGCCCCTGCCACAGGTCTCCCTGCAGTGCTGGTTCCTCCCTGCTAAGCTCTCCCGCCTGCCATTCCAGCTTCCATTCAGAGGGCCTTCGGTGGGAAGACTTTAATTTCTCTCTTTACTTCTTCCTTGACCCAGGGATGGTTCATTCATTTACTGTTCAGTTTACATGAGTGTGTAGGCTTTATTGGATTAGAATTATTGTTGAATTCTAACTTTATTCCATGGTTATCTGATAGTACATAGTTGATTACTACAATATCTTTATATCTATTGTTGTTTGATTTGTTACCAATTATCTGATCAATTTTTGAGAAGGTTCCATGAGATGCTGAGAAGAATGTATATTCTTTTCTGTTTGGGTGGAATGTTCTATAGATGTATGTTAGGTCCATCTGGTTCATTACATCTGTTAGTTCTCTTATTTCTCTGTTAAGTTTCTGTCTGGTTGACCTGTCCATTGGTGAGAGAGGAGTGTTGAGATCACCCACTTTTAGAGTGTGGGGTTTGATGTATGTTCTGAGTTCTAATAATGTTTCTTTTACATATGTGGGTGCTTTTATATTAGGTGCGTAGATATTCAGGATTGAGACTTCCTCCTGATGAATGGTTCCTGATATGAGGATAAAGTTTTCAACTCCATTTCTTCTGATTGATTTTATTTTGAAATCTATTTTGTTAGATATTAGTATAGCCACACCTGCTTGTTTCTTTGGTCCATTTGATTGGAAAACTTTTTCCCCATCCTTTACTTTTAGGTAGTGCTTGTCTTTTTTTTGAGGTGTGTTTCTTGTAGGCAGCAGAATGTTGAATCCTAATTATGTATCCATTCTCTTAACCTGTGCCTTTTTATAGGTGAGTTGAGTCCATTGAGATTAAGCGATATTAATGACCAGTGGTTGTTGACTTCGGTTATTTTTCCTGGTGCTATTGTTTGTGTGTTTCCCGTCTTTGAGTTGTACTGGTGGAGGGTTGTCAGATGTTTGTTTCATTATGGCTGTTGTTGATTTCCTTGCTTTGAGGTTTTCCTTCTAGTATTTTCTGTAGTGCTGGGTTTGTGGCTATGTATTGTTAAAACTGTTTTTGTCCTGGAATATCTTGTTTTCTCCATGGATTGAAAATGCAAGATTTGCTGGGTATAGTAGTCTGGGCTTGCATCCTTGATCTCTTAGTTTCTGCAGCACATCTATCCAAGACCTTCTGGCTTTCATAGTTTCCATTGAGAAGTCAGGTGTAATTCTGATAGGTTTCCCTTTATATGTTACTTGACCCAATTCCCTTGCAGCTCTTAATATTTGTTCTTTATTCTGTATGTTTTGTGTTTTGATTATTATATGGCGAGGGAATTTTTTTTTGATCCAGTCTATTTGGTGTTCTATATGCTTCTTGTACCTTCATAGGAATATCCTTCTTTAGCTTGGGAAAATTTTCTTCAATAATTTTGGTGAATATATTTTCTGGGTGTATATCTTCTTCTTCTTCTACACCTATTATTCTTAGGTTTGGCTTTTTCACAGTGTCCCAGATTTCCTGGATGTTTTGTGTTTAGAATTTGTTGGATTTGTTTTGTTCTTTAATCAGTGAGTTTATTTCCTCTGTAGTATCTTCAGTGTCTGAGATTCTTTCTTCTATCTCTTGCATTCTTTTGGTAATACTTGTCTCTGCAGTTCCTATTCATTTACCCAGATTTTTCCTATCCATCCTTCCTTCAGTCTGTGGATTTTTCATTACCTCCATTTCATTTTTCAAGTCTTGAACTGTTTCCCTTACCTGTTTGTTTGCTTTTTCTTGGATTTCTTTTTTTTCTTGGGTATCTTTGAGAGATTTATTCATTTCATATACTTTTTTTGTTTGTTATCTCCATTTTTTATGGCAGATTTTCACCTCCTGTTTAAGTTTCTCTATTATTTTCATATAGTTCCGCTTAGAGTCGAGTTCTTCTATTTCTTCTGGAGTAGGGTGTTCAATTCTTCTTGTGGCGTGATCCCTGGATTCTGGTGATTTCATATTGTCTTTCAGGTTGTTGGAGAATTCTTGCATTGGCGCCTGCCCATCTCTTCCTTCAAATGGAGTCAGGAGAGTCTTGGTGTCTTGATTCAGTTTTTGCTGTGACTGACTCTCTGGGTGGATCTCTTCAGTGCAGGAGCAGGAACTGTTCCTGTTCCTCTAGATGGTACTCCTCAGCACCCTTTGGATGGAACTCCTCAGCACAGACACAGCGATAGCTGGTATTCCAAGGACACCGCAGACAAAAGGGCAAATGTGGGGGCAGAGCAGGGTCGAGTGGAGCACAGAAGACCCTACAGCAGGAGCTGGGGGGGGGCTGTGCTCTCTTCCAGGACAGTCTACCCCAGATAACACACACTAACCTCTCTGAATGAAACTCCTCAGCACTGAAATACGGATATTTGGTATTCTAAGGACACAGGAGACAAAAGGACGACTCTGGGGGCAGGGTAGAGTCGAGTTGAAAACAGAAGACCCTGCAGCAGAAGCTGGGGGGAGGGCTTTGCTGTCTCCATGACAATCACAGACTCACCCCTCTTGATGGAGCTCCTCAGCACAGACACAGGGATAGCTGATAGTCCAAGGACACAGGAGACAAAAGGGCGACTGTGGGGGCAGGGCAGGGTTGAGTGGAACACAGAAGACCTTGCAGCAGAAGCTGAGGGTGGGCTGTGCTCTCTTCCGGGGCAGTCTGCCCCAGATAGCACACACTCACCTCTCTAGATGGAACTCCTCAGCACTGAAATAGGGAGAGTTGGTATTCCAAGGACACAGGAGCCAAAAGGGCAACCGTGGGGGCAGGGCAGGGTCAAGTGGAACACAGAATATCCTGCACCAGGAGCTGCACAGGGGAACTGTGCTCTCTACCAGGACAGTAAGCCCGGAAGAGCACAGACTCAACCCTCTGGCTGGAACTCCCCCATAATATTTTTGACGTTTTATGTAATCATCCAATTGGGTCTAAAGTATTAACTAAACCAGTGTTCCAGTGCCCATGCATGATGCCCTGTGATAACTGATTCAAATCCCTGACCAACAGTGTAGTCATGTTAGCTTTATCCCTTTTCTCTATTACCATAGTCAGTCCTTCTCCAAGTCTTTCTTTGCCCCCTCCATGATGATCCTAAACTGATCTCTTTCCTTATTCTTCATTGTCATGATTACATTAGAAGTCATATTTTTACATAATTAATTACAAGTTTTGCTTAACTAATTCCTTTCCTTTTATTATTGCCTCAGTTTACTCTTAGTGCTTCCATCACTCTTCCCATGGGGAGTTAAGTATCTATAGCAGAGAAATGGGAAAGATATTGAAATGGGAAATGCATGTTATAATGTTTAAAAATCCAGAAAATGGAAAATTATATAAAACTGAAAAAACATAAGAAAAAATTTGGATGAGTGAGCAATCTATCTGTCCCAGTCAGTTGTTGTTTTCATTCTGTACGTAAAATAATTGAGAGAATATGCAAAAAAGGGTATTGCTTAGCTTTGCTTTTCAAATATGTTTCCCTTCTCAAGGTCACTCAATTTATGCACAAATGTGATGTGCCTTAATTTTGATCACTTTCTTATGAGAACCTAGATCTTCTAAATGATATTATGGATATACCTTAACAGTACAGGACTTGTAGTTTTCCTTGGTTGTTTCACAGAGCATACTTTTTCACATTTCATTATTCCAGTACCATGGTTTTCAGAGCTTTACAGACAAAGGATAGTTCATGAGATGGGAGAGCTGTATTACATTTGCATATCCACTGTGCATAGGTTTTAACATTTATTTGTAAACTAGGCTTTCACTTAACATTATAGTATAGACCTTGGTTAGGCCTTCTATAGTGTTGGGTAACCCAGGTTTTGTCCTCACTAGAATATGACCTTCTCATCAGAATCATCTCTTGAATTAAGTGCTATTATATTGCTTAGCAGTTAGGGGCAAAATCTCAGGGAGGTAAAATTTCATCCTTATGCCTTGGTGACTTAAATGAAAGTCAAAGATAGGGGTTTTGACTTCTTGAAATAATGGTCTTGCTCAAGTGTGACTTTCCAATATTACAGATAAATTTGGCAATACAGAGAGTTAGTGATGTCATAATGGAGGGAAACATGAAAATATGCAAGTGACATGGTCAGAGATGATGCTCAATTGCTTATATGTGTAATGAAGTCTCTGACACAAATTGTCAGTAGTATTGCCTTCCAAAATTCCTGTTCTTAACTATTTCTTCTCAATGGATTGAACTTAAATGCGTAGAGTGCAGTCATCCACATGTAGGAGGAGAAACTGGAATCTTGCAGTGAACCTAGAAGTAATTATGACTTGGACATACCAATAGCAGTAGCTTTATAGGAGACATGAACTAAAAGTACTTCTTTTAACAAATGATTTCACAGCTGGTGCTCTGGGGAGTTTTTGTCTTACTCCTCCATGATTCTTAGCACTGTGAGTAAAACCACTACCAGACGACTGGCAGTAATAGTCAGCCTCGTCTTCAATCTGCAGACCAGTAATGGTCAGAGAGGCTGAGTTGGAGGAGCTGTCAATGGAGCCAGAGAACCGATCAGGAATCCCAGATGGTCTCTTATGGTCTTCATAGATCACATTGGTCGGTGGACTTCCAAAGTGCTGCTGGTACCAGTGCACATAGTAGCTTCCAATGTTACCACTGCTGCGCTTGCAGGTGATGGTGACTGTGCTCCCAAGAGACCCAGACACAGAGCTTGGTTGAGTTAGCACAACCTGTGCACATGTCCCTGTAAAAGGAAGATAATAAAAATCAGTAAAGGCAAGGAAATCTCATTCACAAGAAACAATCTAAGCCAAACATTCCAAGCAACATTTACTCTCCCAGAATTATTTAAGTCCACTGACCTGTTAAATGATGAAGGAAAATGAGGAGTAGTAGAGTCCAAGTCATGGTGAAGACACCCAGATTTGTCTTCTTGAGTCTAGTGGACTGACTATAGCTGGCCACCTTTTTATTTTTCCCTGTGTGTCTAAGTGTGGGCTGGCTTCATGCAAATATGCCTCTTTCTGTACATGTACAAGCTTCTCTTTTTACTTCAGACTGGGCCTGAGAAGTGGAAAGACACATGGGGAAGATGTGGGCGCCACCAAGTGGCAGATCAGAGAAATCTTAAAGGGGAAAAAAGTTGGGGTACACTAGGCAAGTGTTTGGCCATATGACTCCCCAATTTAACCCTGCCATGCCATCTGCTGTATGACTACTGGTGCCCCTCCTGCCAACAACAAGACTATTTAGAAAGTCACATCGTCTTATTAGGAGTCTGAATGGAACATGAATGCTTGTCCCTTATTCTGCAAATGACAATTAAGACTGTGGGTAACCCAGTTTGCATAGAGAACCAGTGCCTGGTTTGAGAGACACACTGTTCTTTTACTCTAGAAGGATTGTGATCATTTCTAGGGAAGAATTTTTAGTAGACTGGTATTAAGTGTGAATCTCAGCAGTTAAGATGTCTAGCTGTTTCTGCAGAGGACATGAATTTGGGTCACAGCATTCATGTCAGACTGCTTCAACTCTCCTACAATTCTAGCACTAGGGTTTCATATTCCCTATTCTAGCTGCCTCAGATACCCAGACACACTTGTTTGCACACATTTGCAGGCAAGCAGACATATACATAAGTTTTAAATATAATTCTTAAAAATAATTAAGTATAAAAAGTTTCAATATGACTTCCAAAAAGTGAAAAAACTATCTGTGGAAGTCGAGAAAGATTTGGGAGAAAAAATTCTTTCTGTAACTGGCAAAAATAAAATAAACTGAAACATGGTATAAAGGAAATAATATGAATTCTTACTCATTCTGAAATTTTTAGTAGATTGCAAGTTTAAAAATTATTTCAAGTATTAAATTGAATAGATATGGAGAGAGTGGAAATCATCATCTTATTCTTGACTTTAGTGAAAATGCTTTGAGTTTCTCTTCATTTAATTTGATACTGGCTATTGCCTTGATTTTATTACTTTATGTTGCTTTTATTATACTTACCCATGTCCTTTGTATCCCTGATCCCTCAAGACAATTTTTATGAAGGGAATTAATTTTTTTCAAAGTCTCTTTCAACATTTAATAATGTGATCATGAAGATTTTCTTTCAGTTTGTTTATATGGTGGATTACATTGAAAGATTTTCATATATTGAACCATAACTGCATCTCTGGGATGAAGTTCACTTGATCATGGTGAACGATCTTTTTAATGTGTCTTTTGATTCAGTTTGTGTATTCTTGATTATTTTTGCATCAATCTTTGTTGTGGATATTCTGTTTGTGTTCTAACAAATAAAACTTTTCCATAGATTAGAGAAGCAGAAAAGCAACCACTAGAGAATTCTTACCTTTACAAATACTCTGACCAAAAGAGGAGCCAAGATCCTGTCTCTACCTACTTTACATTCTGGTCTCCAGCTCCCTAATGCCGAAATTAAAGGTTTTTTTTTTTTTAACGACAGTGCCTGACTGTGTTTCTATTTTAGACAGATTCAATATCATGAATCCCAGGATGGCTTTGTACACCTCATCCTCCTGATTTTTCTTCCCAAGTGCTAGGATTAAAGATATGTGCTACCACTGCCTTGATTCTATGGTTAACTAGCTGCTATCTCTGCCCTCTTATTTCCAGACAAGCTTTATTTGTCAGAACACACAAAAAATCACACAACAAATGTTCATGAAGGAGATTGGTCTGTAATTCTCTCTTTTTGTTGAGTCTTCATGTAGTTTGGGAATCAGGACTAGTGATTATTTGACTGTGGCCTCAAATAATGACTTTGGCAATGTTCTTTTTGTTTCTATTTTGTGGAATAATATGAAGAGTATTGGTATTAGCCTTTCTTTGAAGGTCTGATAGAATTCTGAGCTAAAACCATCTGGCCATGGACATTTATTGGTTGGATTACTTCTAATGACAGCTTCTATTTCCTTGGGGGAAATAGATCTTTTTATATTGTTTATATGATCTTGATTTAACTATGGTAAGTTGTATCTATTGAGAAATTTGTCCATTTCTTTTAAATTTTCCAATGTTTGAAAGTAATTGAATTATGACATAATGATTCTTTGGATTTCCTTAGTGTCTGTTGTTATCCACCTTTTTATTTCTGATCATATTAATGTGGGTGTTTTCTCTCTGCCTTTTAGTTAGTTTGGATATGGCTTTGACTATCTTTTTGATTTTCTCAAAGAACCAGCTATCTATTTTATTGATTTTTAGAGTCTTCTCTTTATTTCTATTGTCCTCATTTCAGCCCTCAGTTTGATTATTTCATAGTCTAGTCCTTTGGGGTATGTCTGCTTCCTTTTGTTCTAGAGCTTTCAGGTGTGCTTGTAAGTCAGTAGGATAAGATTTCTTTAAATTCTTTATGAAGGCATTTGATGATATAATATTCCCTGTTAATACCACTTTCCTTATGTCTTATACACGTGGGTATGCTGTGAATTAATTTTTATTTAATTCTAGTAACTCTTTCATTCCTTTATTTCTCCTTTGACCCACTTGAAATTCACCAGATTTATTCTGCTTTCATGAGATTGTAGGCTTTCTGTTGTTTCTGTTGTTGCTGAAATTCAATTTTAATCCATGGTGATCTGAAAGGATACAGGGGCTTATTACAATTTTCTTATATCTGTCGAGATTTGCTATTGTATGTATGTACTCGATTTTGCACATGGATGTAATCAATTTTGGAGAAGGTTGCATAAGGTGCTGAGAAACTTAAAACAATCCCACTAAAATCAAGAATGAGACAAGGCTGTCCACTCTCTCTGTATCTATTCAATATAGTACTCAACGTTTTAGCAAGGGTGATAAGACAACAAAAAGAAATCAAGGGGATAAAAATTTGGTAAGGAAGAAGTTGAAGTATCACTAGTCACAAATGGTATCACTTACATGTAAACACACCCTAAAACCCTACCCAGGAACTCCTAAAGCCTCAAAACACCATTAGTGAAGTGTCTGGATATAAGATTAACTCAAAAATTTCAGTATCCCTCTTATATACAAAGAATGAATAGACTGAGAAAGAAGTCAGAAAAGCAAACTCCATCACAATTGCCACAAATAATATAAAATATCTTGATCTTACTTTAACTCAGAAAGTGAAAGACCTGTATGACAGGATCTTCAAATCTTTGAAAACAGAAATTGCAGGAGATATTCAAAGATGGAAAGATTCCACATGCTCATAGATTGGTAGGATTAACATAGTAAAAAATGGCATCTTATGAAAAACAAAAAAGATTGTGACCTGTTTGCAACCAACAGCATTTGCCCCAAATATAACAACTCTATTGCTTTACTATGTATTTGTTTTTTATCCCATATTTTACAATAAAAAGTCAATCATACTGTCAACTTTGCCTAGTGATGTGCAGAACACGTTAACCACATGAAGTATCCTTGTATCCCAAGTCTTGGGAAAGAATTTCTTATTCTAAGTGGGAATTTTCAGGTTTTGTACAGGAGGAGGTCCCCTAACCTCAGTAGGTAGCAGGATAGACCCCTGATACTGACAATGAAACCAGAGCTTTAATGTACCTGTGAGTCTGACAGATGCTCATAGAGATGAAGAGTGAGTTCATTGCTGAATAGCAATAGGGTAATTGAAGGATCCAAGAAATAGTCTCAGAATGGTGATGGACATAGATGAGGGCATGCTGTTTATAAAATGAGCCAAAGACTGTAAAGCAGGCTAAGTAAAAGTCTGTTCTTCTTGACCAATATCCACCTGTATATATAGGAAGAACTGTGGGAAATGACAGCCATGGCAGGTTTACTTCTCTCATACCTTCTGTGTAACTGTTTGCACCCAGGGTCTTATTTCCTGCCATATGAAAAAGAAGAGTCTGTTTATGCAAACTTGTCTCTTCTCTTCCTGGTCCTTTCAGTCCCTGATGATCACAGATTCAGAATCAGAGAAAGGCCCTGAGGACACAGAAGGATGAGAGAGTGAGTGACTTGATCTGAGTGTGAACCAGCAAAGTTGGTAAAGGTTGCAGCTATTAGAAATTTGTACAGACGTCTGCAGACGACTCTCAGATTCTCATTGCAGTGTCAACTCAGCCTCAGCCATAGTTAAAGTCACAGGGAAACCTCGTATGTGGCTGAGAATAGCTATCTAGCATCACATGTGAGAAAGAATCAAGGATCACCAGAATATATAAGCCGAAAAACAATTCAGAGAAATTATTCCAAGAAATAGCCAGAGACAATATTCCATTTGCCTCCTTTTCTCATCAATTTATACTTATGGACTAACTAAAATTTTCTTTCCTACTCAAAACTTTAATTGTTCTCTCTATACTATATTTCTAGAATTAAGGTATTAAGAGAAAATACTAGTGTGATATTTTAAATAGCATGATTTTTAAAAAATCTACTATTACATTTAAAACTACCTTTTCTGCTTTTAAATTTCTCTTCAAACC